AGACTGTAGACTTCTCTATAGTCAAGACAATGGACTTCTCTATAGTCAAGACTATAGACTTCTCTATAGTCAAGACTGTATACTTCTCTATAGTCAAGACTATAGACTTCTCTTTAGTCAAGACTACAGTTTTCTCTATAGTCAAGACTATAGACTTCTCTATAGTCAAGACTATAGACTTCTCTATAGTCAAGACTATATACTTCTCTATAGTCAAGACTATATACTTCTCTATAGTCAAGACTATAGACTTCTCTATAGTCAAGACTGTAGACTTCTCTATAGTCAAGACAATAGACTTCTCTATAGTCAAGACTATAGACTTCTCTATAGTCAAGACTATAGACTTCTCTATAGTCAAGACTGTATACTTCTCTATAGTCAAGACTATAGACTTCTCTTTAGTCAAGACTACAGTTTTCTCTATAGTCAAGACTATAGACTTCTCTATAGTCAAGACTATAGACTTCTCTATAGTCAAGACTATAGACTTCTCTATAGTCAAGACAATAGATTTCTCTATAGCCAACACTATAAATTTCTCTATAGCCAAGACTATAGACTTTTCTTTAATCAAGACAGTCAAGTCTATAAATTTTTCTATGGCCAAGACCATATACATATCTAGAGTCAGCACTATATACTACTCTGTAGTCACAATTATAGTCTGTTATATAGCCAATACTATGTCCAATAGTCGGATCTTTAGTCAAGACTATAAACTGACAGATTAAATATATTGGTCACATAAAAATTGTTATACAAATAAGATATCGATAAAGTATTTAATTTATATATCACTAATGTTTGACGTAGGGTATAAATCGTAATCCAATGAAAATCTTTTATGAAACTATTTTTAGAAAATTATAATTAAAAATCAATAAAAGTAATCTACTGATAATTAAATCCACAAATATTTTATATAAAATTTTTAGGAAAAAGGGACTTTTTAAAAGTAAAATTTTAAAATGTTAAGAATCCTTCAAATACATATAAATAAAAAAAGCTCATACATACAAAATATAATAGATACTTAACTATTTAGTAAAGATAATTATAATTCCTTTTTAAACGTTTTTACTCATACTACTTGTCACAAAAACATACATCCGACATCGACTTTATGGTAATTTGTATTTTGTAAAAGCGTCTACATACATATCATCATACCATGAATATGTACGTCTTACATACATACATGCATACTTACAACCCATACTTACATATTCATACGATTATAACTGAAACATTCATTTAAATCATGTACATTTCATAAGCCTTGTATAACAGTACTTTAGCAAAATTCTCATGCCAAACTCAAAATAAAAATAATGATAATTTTGAAACATACAACAAACATACTGCATATATACAAAAATGATAAAAATATTAAATATATACATAATATAAAAATCTGATAACTTACACTGAGAAAATTATTATTAATATGTTTTCCTGGAATTTTGAACTTCCGTAATATTTTCTGGAACTAAATAATTCTGGAACGAATAAACTATTATAAATTTAAATGTAATCGGAGCCAAGTGTTTTAGAGTTAATAGTTTCTGCAAACGGATCTCCAAAGTTGGTCCCCTTGAACATACTTCTTTCTATTCGCCAAAATCCTGAAATCTTTTTATTCACCAAAAATCTGTAACAATATAGATCAACAATAAAAACTATTGTGCAAAATTTCATCCTGATCGCAAGGCGTCGGTTTCAAAAGTATAAATATTTGCATGCCGACTATGGCTGTTGGGCTTAGACCCTATTTAAATTCTATGGTTCTCCAACATCGATAATTTAGATTCTTATATCTTAGAAATTTTAATATATATTCTGCTATTTGATTTATTCGTGTTTCGAACTAACGTATACGTCTCTAGGTGCTGTTGCTGACAGAGGCCATAACATCTTCGTGGTTGTAACTGGAAGTGATGTTTCTATATCTTCGAAGTTGAGCAACAGGGCAGCAATGGTCAGAGATTGAATAGCTTGAGTACTTGAGAAAAGACTATAGACTAGACTATAGACTAGACAATAGACTAGACCATAGACTAGACTATATACTAGACTATAGACTAGACTATAGACTAGACTATAGACTAGACTATAGACTAGACTATAGACTAGACTAGACTATAGACTAGACTATAGACTAGACTAGACTATAGACTAAACTATAGACTAGACTATAGACTAGACTATAGACTAGACTGTAGACTAGACTATAGACTAGACTATAGACTAGACTATAGACTAGACTATAGACTAGACTATAGACTAGACTAGACTATAGACTAGACTAGACTAGACTAGACTAGACTAGACTATAGACTAGACTATAGACTAGACTATAGACTAGACTATAGACTAGACTATAGACTAGACTATAGACTAGACTATAGACTAGACTATAGACTAGACTATAGACTAGACTATAGACTAGACTATAGACTAGACTATAGACTAGACTATAGACTAGACTATAGACTAGACTATAGACTAGACTAGACTAGACTAGACTAGACTAGACTAGACTAGACTAGACTAGACTAGACTAGACTAGACTAGACTAGACTAGACTAGACTAGACTAGACTAGACTAGACTAGACTAGACTAGACTAGACTAGACTAGACTAGACTAGACTAGACTAGACTAGACTAGACTAGACTAGACTAGACTAGACTAGACTAGACTAGACTAGACTAGACTAGACTAGACTATAGACTATAGACTAGACTAGACTATAGACTATAGACTAGACTATAGACTATAGACTATAGACTATAGACTATAGACTATAGACTATAGACTATAGACTATAGACTATAGACTATAGACTATAGACTATAGACTATAGACTATAGACTATAGACTATAGACTAGACTATAGACTAGACTATAGACTAGACTATAGACTAGACTATAGACTAGACTATAGACTAGACTAGACTAGACTAGACTAGACTATAGACTATAGACTATAGACTATAGACTAGACTAGACTATAGACTATAGACTATAGAATATAGACTAGACTATAGACTAGACTAGACTAGACTATAGACTAGACTAGACTAGACTAGACTAGACTAGACTAGATTAGACTAGACTAGACTAGACTAGACTAGACTAGACTAGACTAGGCTAGACTAGACTAGACTAGACTAGACTAGACTAGACTAGACTAGACTAGACTAGACTAGACTAGACTATAGACTATAGACTATAGACTATAGACTATAGACTATAGACTATAGACTATAGACTATAGACTATAGACTATAGACTATAGACTATAGACTATAGACTATAGACTATAGACTATAGACTATAGACTATAGACTATAGACTATAGACTAGACTAGACTAGACTAGACTATACACTAGACTATAGACTAGACTATAGACTAGACTATAGACTAGAATATAGACTAGACTATAGACTAGACTATAGACTAGACTATAGACTAGACTGTAGACTAGACTATAGACTAGACTATAGACTAGACTATAGACTAGACTGTAGACTAGACTATAGACTAGACTATAGACTAGACTATAGACTAGACTATAGACTAGACTATAGACTAGACTATAGACTAGACTATAGACTAGACTGTAGACTAGACTATAGACTAGACTATAGAGTAGACTATAGACTAGGCTATAGACTAGACTATAGACTAGACTATAGACTAGACTATAGACTAGAGTATAGACTAGACTATAGACTAGACTATAGACTAGACTATAGACTAGACTATAGACTAGACTGAAATGATGGTTTTACATCTTGGAAGTTGAGCAACAGCGCAGCAGTGGTCAGAGATTGGATAGCTCGAGTACTTGAGAAAAGTGCTTTTACATGTACCAGTAGAACACGGCAGGTGTTCACGTAAAGCACTTCGGCATTTATTACATCATCATCGTAAGAGATTGGTCTAAATTTTACATCGATTAGGGAGCTCAGGAGACTTATAATCGTGATATTTTTAACAAATTCAAATATTTCTTAGCAATTTAATAATTAATTTTTCTCAGTGTATGTTTCAGACATAATCATATTTACAGTGTAATTAAATACATGTTGTTGTTTTTTTTCTAATAAATTCTCATATATAAATACTAAATACATCTAAGTTTTTTTAATATGTTTGTGTGTTTTGTTCTCTCCTCTTCTAATATTTTAATGCTTCTCTGAATTGACATTTAACAACTAATTCAGCCCGTAAGTATAAAGAAAAGTTCTTAAAAATGTATTTGCTTAAAAGCTTTAAAAAAATAAGATTTTTCGTTTAAATTTTAAATCATTGTATTATTTAGTTTGATAGATAATATTGTGTATTAAGAAAGAAACAAAAAAACAAGCAAAGCAATGAAAATATATGTATTTTGTTTATTTATTTTTTTGTCTTTCTACTTTTTATTGCTTTTTTTGCTAAAAATTTTGTTGTTTATTCTGCTATTTAATCTCGTAAAAATATATTGTGTATTTAAATACAAATGAAAAAAAAAATAATAAAAACTTAACCAAAACTATAATAAAACTAACAAATTAAAATGCAATTACATATTTACATACCTATATATATGTATTAAATATATTTATAAATATAAATGTGTATTAACCATGTATTGTATACCCCAAATGCCAATTTTATTTGTTCTTCTATTTGTAATTTTTACTTTATTTTTTTTGTATCTTAACTTGATAAAATCATATTATACAATTTATTTCTTTGTGTGTAATTGTACATATAACTACATACAAAACTGTATGTACTACTTGCAACTTTGTAAATTTTGATATTGTATAAAAATTTTTGTTAAATTTACCCCAAATTTATAAATATTTTAAACAATAATACTAAATTTATACTCACCTACAATACGTACATATATTTGTACGTGATAATTTGTACAAAATATTTGAAATTCGTAAATGTGAAATTATAATTAAAGTTTTTTAAATTTACTGCCGTCTATCAGGGTGAAAAGAAACGTGATGCCGGTGGACCCAATGAAATTGTTGCTTGTACCACATGTGGCGGAAGTAGTGGCAGTCCTTGTACACATTCAGCCAATAATGGTTGTGCAACAGAGGTAAGTACATAAATGTAATTTAATATAAGAATTGTAAAGTTAAGCAGAATTTTAAGTATTTACTTTTTGGAAGTATTTTTATGGAGTACCCATGTGTGTCTTTCTTTATACCTTGGTTAATGCAAATCAATCAGGTACTTTAGCTATTTCCCCTTTGAGCGTAGAGTAAGTCAGTGAATATATAACTTTTTTTCTTCCTTCAAATGGTACTTTTTCATTTTTTATAATATTAAACACAGAAACAAAACTTCTATATTATATATTCGGCTATAAAAAATCTTTTATACACTTCAACGTAGTGTTTAAAAAAAGATAGTATTTATTTTAATAAAAAAATATTTAATAAACAAAATTTATATATACATATGTATCTTTATACTTTTAATCATACACAATCTTCCATCCCTGACTCTACCGTTAACTTTGGCTATAAGACAACAATAACAACATACACCTTTCTATGTTACGCATTGTTCTTGTTGTATTTATTATACCCTACACCACTATAGTGGGGAGGCTATTATGCATTTGTGCTGATGTTTGTAACGCATTAAAATAATAATACCACATATATCCACCTTAAAGTATACCGATCGACTCAGAATCACTTTCTGAGATTTAAGTATGTCCGACCGTCCGTGTGTCCATGTAAACGTTGCAATCAAAGTACAGATCGCAATTTTCCAGATAATTTGATGAAATTTGGAATACACGTTTGTTTTGATCTAAGGGCGAAGTCTATGGTTAAAATCTGTCCATTAGTTAACCTAGCCCCCATACAACTGAACCCCCCGAAAAGGGCTTTTGAGCTCATAATTATGTATAATATAAATGAATCTCGATAAAAGTTCGCACAACTAAGTTTTACATAAGCATTGATGACCTTGCCGAATCTTGAAATGATCGGACTTCATTTGACCCTAGCCCCCTCTTCAGAAAGTGACTTGAATATATAAATATTATATAAATACAAATCTATCCAGCCCCCATATAAAGCCTCTTTTAGAAAATAAGTTTTTCGTCTATAAATTGCTTAAATAAATCGGAATCAAGGTTATATTCAAGATAAATGCTTTATTATGAAAAATAAATCACATTTAATATTCATAACTGGTGTAGGGTATCATATGGTCGGCCAAGCCCGCCTATATTTTCTTACTTATTTTTATAGAATAGAATTAATTATTCATGATTTGGATCTCTTCAGATAATTGATCTCAACAACCATAATATAGACCGACAGACACGGTGTGACAAAATTCTTCTCCACGTGACCTAGTGCAGTTTGTACGTCTAGTACAAAAAATTACTTTTCGAATTTTCTAAATACCCCGACAAATCCATTTTTTTGATATAACCCTCAAAAAAAATGGATTTTTAATTGCTTTAGGAATTAAACATCTTTATCTCATATTTTTTAATACGATCTAATTTTAAAACTCTTCTAACATAAAAAAAAGTGTAAATATTATGTTCGTTCAGAGGCTCGGTTTGCTTTGGACGTTTGGTTTTCGGCAGGAAGGTTTGTTGGAGAAGATGTTCTTTCTGCGAACGCTGCCATTTTGGCACTTCTGATACGGCTTGGTCCGATACATCTGTATTAGATTGAGGATTCAAACACTCTCCTCAGCGAGAAGGGCCTTGGCACAATCTATTGACGATTTCTCAGCTGTTGTAAGTGCATCAACCGGATTAGTTCCAAGACATTCTATTACACAGAGGGAAAAACAAATATACACGCCTGGTACCATATTGACGCCAAAGAGTTTATAAGTTTTCAATAACATCCGTTGTCAAAGTACATACATACGTACGACAACACTATGTAATGTTACCAACGCAACGTTGTCAACATTGCAACAATTCGTTGTCGAAATCTAAATTTTATACACATCCGTTGTCTAAATGTTAACAAACGTGGTAAGCTCACTATTGACAAACAAACCGTTGCCAATAGTGAGCTTACCACGTTTGTTAACATTTAGACAACGGATGTGTATACAATTTAGATTTCGACAACGAATTGTTGCAATGTTGTCAACATTACATACATAGTGTTGCCGTACGTATGTATATACTTCGACAACGGATGTTATTGAAAAATTATAAACAGTTTGATGTCAATTTGGTACCAGGCGTGTATATTTCTTTTTCCCTCTGTGTAGGCACAAGGCGGCACGCCTTTGTACAAAAGCCTCCCTTGAGGACTCTTTGCGAGGAGGGCGGTTTTTGGGAGTCGTGAGGGAGGAAAAGGGAACAGTTCGCAATCTTTTCGGAAACCGCTGAGGTCACCTCTTGGTCCTCTATGTCCGAAGTAGGGAGATTTCTTGGCGTTCCAGCATAGGCCTGTGCTGCTATTGAGGTGCTTGCCATGACGGCCGAGCCGTTCCCACTGCGATCAACCCTACTAGATATCAGCAAAAGAATAGACAGCCAGTTCTTTGCAGTCCACTAGCTTAGGTTTCTCCAGCTAATTTTCCGATGCTGGTTATTGTTTTCCACTGTTTACGTTATTGGAACTTTACATTTGACTCCCTCTAGTATGTACGTAAGGGATTGGACGACCCATGCTGTGACGTGGACTAGTCTAGGAACTACAGCCGATCCATACCCCGGCAATGGAAAGGAATTGTTAGCGACTAGTCTTCTTTAACCACTGTCCAGCGACTGGTCTTCTTTAACCACTGTTTAGGTTCTCGGTGCTGTTTGGTATGGGAAAAAGTGGGAAGAGGAGAACAATTGAGCTATGTAACACAACAACTAATCATTTGCCACGAAATGTATCATGGTTTATGTTATTCTTCTTATACCCTTTCCTTCCCCCCGGGGGCATGTTACCTTAATGAACTTCCCCATCCTAGTGTTATTGAAATCCCGGGGATAAAATATCTCTAGTCTGTCGGGACTATATACTGGTGATGATCAAATGTATTCTAGGTCTTTCCTTGGAATGATTGAACCAGAGAACTAAATAATCTGGTACCACGGAAACGGCTAGCTCACAAGACAGAGTTTCGTACTTTGTGTTGACCCGGTTTTTTTGCAGTGGTGCCTTCGGGGTGCAAGTGGTGGCTGTGGTTTAAACCCAAAATTTGGTTAAAAGACAGACAAGATAAAGTCTATAATTCGGGATAAGTGCAGTGCTGTTACCGAGACAAAACATACCTCACAGAAGAGTGACTGCGGGACTAAGCATTGGAAATGAGTTGGTGTCAAGTGTATTTGATACGGGATGGATGTAAGGTATGCGGGCCTTAGCCATATGTATACCTTGAGCGATGTTTTTCTCAAATAATGTGTCGGATAAATAAGAAGTATGCTGGGCTGAATAGTGATGGATGTAAGATATATATACAAGTGATACCATGGAATTTTCCTTCCTTGTGCGGGTATGTTCAGGGACTACTCTGTTCATAGCAGATTTACCACAGTGTGTTCTCTGTGAGTAAGAACAAGTTCTCGGCTTATATGATGGATTCGTGTTTCGGTCTAAGTCTCTTAGGCGCTGTTACCGACTTAACAGAGATCATCCCATCTGCCTGCTTGTAAACGGAATTGATGTTTTTGCATCTCGGAAGCTAAACAACGGGGCGGCAATTGTCAGAGATTAGATAGTTCGAGTTCTTGGTAAAGGTACAAAAATTACCACCGACGTGTAAAATACACAAAGGGGCGGTGGTGAGTCATCTAATTTGCTCATCTTGTAGTTGTAAAAGAACCACATACCGTTTTGACCTACGCACTTCGACTTCTATACCCTTTCCGATATCTATATGACCATTTTTCGAAAAAGTATCAGCATAGGTATAAGAATGCGATATATTTCAACGTGTATCAATCTAGGTGTAACAGATCTATTGGATTATTTTATACAAATACAATGTATCGGGTGGCTCATAGCTGTTGTGATCATTCGTATCGAATGCAAATGTCCGATGGGAGAACTGAGATCTCCACAACTGAAAGATTTAATAAAAGTAAAAATTAAGTAAAATTTAACTTTCGTAATTTAAAAATAAATATCAAATAAGTTCCTAATAACTCACTTATGTTTTTAAAAAGTAAGAATACCTTTTATGTACTTTCTACTGCTTGGCGTGGCGGACCATATAATACCCTACACCAGTTATGACCATATCTTTATTAATTTTAATAGTAAAGCATTTATGTTGAATTTTTCCTTTATTTTGATAACTTTCTAATGGAGGCTATATATGGGAACTAGGGTCAATAATGAACCGATCCTAACAAAATTTGGTGGAGAGATGTTGGTTGACATTAAAGTTAATTATGCAGAATTTCATTGAAATATACATTTTTTATCAGGGAATTAACAACGTTCAAGCATTTTCAGAGTGAGACTTTGCAAGGGGGCTAGGGTTAAATAAGGGCCGCTCATTACGAAATTTTCCAGTATTATTTATGCTTGTATAAAACTTAGTTGTGCCTATTTTTGTAGGGATATTAGTATATTTGTCATATTATGAGCTCCAAATCCCAATTAAGGGGTTCCGGGTATATGGGGACTAGGTGATATAATGGCCCGATATCAACCAAAATCAATAGAGTTCGTTCTTTGTTCATCCAATTATCTTCAAAATTACGACCTTTAGTTTGATTTACATGGACAGACAGTTTGGTTTACATGGACAGACAGACGGATGGACGGACATCGCTTAATCAACTCAGAAATGATTCTGTGCCGATTGGTATACTTAAAGGTAGGTATAGGACCATTAATTCTTTGCGTTAAAAATATCAGCATAAATCCAATATACCCTCCCCACTAAGGTGGTGTAGGGTATAATAAAATCAGATTAAAGAAATTTGAGATACAAAGACCGGTTTTTGGGGATAACACCCAATTTTCAGGGTACATTAAAATTTCAGTTAGGGTAATCTATTCAACTAGATATACAAACTTGGTAATCGTATACCAAATCAAACTTGCAACCTGGAAATACTCATAGAACATATGTATATTAAGATACTTTTTAATTTTTATTTTAAAATATAGAACATTTCATATTAAACAACTATATTTTTTAAATATATTTTCAGACTTGCTTTGTACAAGTACGCAAGAAGGAACCTCCACATCCAATACGTATCGCAAAAACCATAGATGTAATTGCTAGAATTACATTTCCAACAGCATACGCCATTTTCTTAATATTTTTCTTTGTACACTATAAAGGATTTTCATAAAATTATAAAATAAAGCAAAACAAAAAATTATTAAAACAAAAAAAAAAGAAATAAATTACAAAATAACAAAGTCAACACTAAAAATGCTGTTTATTTTAACGTAAATCACTGCAAATAAACTAAAAACCAAAACGACAATTAAAAAAAAAAAGTAATTAACAAACTGCGAAATAAAAATTTAAATATATAACGAACAAAAAAATAAACGCAAGATATTAATAATAATTGAAAAATATTACAAACAATTAATAAATATCTACATATGCAAAATTCCAAAAGAAAAAACTTAATTGAAATACAACCCCCCTCCATGCCCCACGAAAACCGAATTCTTAATAAAACGAAAGAAAAACATATTTTTTAAAACATCTTGAGAAATTCATATAAATGCATTTTCTTAATTTTATTAAAATAGAGAACCTATTACAAAATTATACTAAATATCATAATTAACAAGTTTAGCAAATTTTTTTTATTAAAAAAAATAAAACAGAAAAATCAAGCTCAAGTTAGGGTGAACAGCTCAGGAATAATTTAAAAATGTTCGAGCAAAAACCAAAAAAAAAATTAAAAAAAAAATATTTTTTACATTATTTTGAAAGCTTATTGTTAATTAAATGGATTTATTTTAAATATTTATACAAAATCTCGTAGATTGGCAAAGAAATTTGTTACGTTATGATCAACTGATCAATAAATTTGATTGCAGCAACTAAATCTGTTTCTTAGTATTGACACAAAATTTCTGTTGGTTGCGCCTAATGTAATTCATATGATATTTATTTCTAGCAACAGATATTCGTTAAAAATATTAGTTTATTATGAGGAAATCGCCATTTTTTTATTTAAATTCAAATTAAAAATGCATTTATATGAATTTACTCCCATAATGTGCTAAAAACAACATAAATAGTGAATTAAAAAAACTTCATTTAAGCTCAAAAAAATAATTGAAAAAAAAGCCATAAATGCACCATTCTAGTAAAATTTTCATTAAAATTATAAATAAAATAAAAGAAAATTCTTTAAATAAAACAAACATAAAAACAAATTATTAAAAAATATTAATTAAATTATTTACATTCTAAGCATTAATTTTAACAAGTAACAAAGGGAAACACAAACAACGTGATAAAATAATATATAAATTAAACAATTATATAAATAATTTAAAAATAACAACAAAAAACAACAAATAAATTTGAAATTTATGTAAAAACCCTACCCTCCCCCCATTATTATGTAATAAATTGTAATATTATTTGTTTTTATTCAGCAAATTAAAATTATTGTTATTAAAAGAAATATTAACTTGTTTATTTATTAAAATATAATATTAGTTATTTATTTAAATTAAATAAAATTAATTTAGGAACAAATATAAAAGAGAAACCAAGTTAAAACAATTTAAATATTGAAACTAAAATCCAAAAAAAAACTTTAAATTTAATTAATATTTTCGACTGCCTTTTTTAAACATAATACCAACAAAAAACCAAAAAAAAAAATTAATTATGAAAATAAATAAATAGTTATTAAAGTTAAACATAAATTTTTTAAGTAATTATATTGCGTGTTTAGTTTGAAAAAAAATGTTGCACTTTTTGTGCTTCTTATGTAGAAAGTGGTCTATGCGTTCGGAAGTTCCGCCCAAGACCATTTTCCTATATAAATCAAAAAGTGCAACTTTTAAAATATTAACACGCAAAAATTAAGGAAAACGCTTTAATCAAATGCTAAATTTGAAAAATCTTGTTTCTGTACCAGTAACGTTTAAGTATTTTTATGGTTTATTTTAATAAATCCCAGAAAATTTAAAAATAATTTACGAAACTCAAAGAAATTTTGACTAAATTAAAAAAATATATGAGCATTTAAAAAAAAAAAAAAAACATAACCTTATATCAATGTTTCCGACTGAGACTCTAAATGAAAAGAAGAAAGATACAAGTTTCGTTCAACCTGTAAATATTCTGCCGTCTGAAATATTTATACCCTACATTACCATAGTGGGAAGGGTATTATGCGTTTGTGCTGATGTTTGTAACAACCCAAAATCTTGGTCCTACACCCACCTTAAAATCGTCTCAGAATCTATCGTCTCAGTCGATGTAGCTATGTCCTTCTGTGTGTCCATGTAAACATTTAAGATAATTTGATGAAAATTAGCATATACATTTCAAGGACGACGCCTATTAGAAATAGGCCCCATAGTCCCCAAACAACCGTACCCCCGGAATAGGGCTTTTAAGCTCATAAATGATCTTGTATCACCCCTATATAAAGTCCCCTTCAGAATATTACTTAAAGGTCAAAATTCCCTTATAAACACTAATATCAGGATGATATTCTGCACAAATAACCGATGAGGACATCCCTCTACAAAAATGTATAAGGATAGGACCATATTAACTATTGTCTGTTCTATAGTCTCGACTATTGTCTGTTCTATAGTCTATTCTATAGTCTCGACTATAGTCCATTCTATAGTCTCGACTATAGTCATAGAATAGACTCATAGAATAGTCTCGACTAGAGTCTATTCTATAGTCTCGACTACAGTCTAATCTATAGTCTCGACTATAGTCTATTCTATAGTCTCGACAATAGTCTATTCTATAGTCTCGACTATAGTCTATTCTATAGTCTTGACTATAGTATATTCTATAGTCTTGACTATAGTATATTCTATAGTCTTGACTATAGTCTATTCTATAGTCTTGACTATAGTCTATTCTATAGTATTGACTATAGTCTATTCTATAGTCTCGACTATAGTCTATTCTATAGTCTCGACTATAGTCTATTCTATAGTCTCGACTATAGTCTATTCTATAGTCTCGACTATAGTCTATTCTATAGTCTCGACTATAGTCTATTCTATAGTCTCGACTATAGTCTATTCTATAGTCTCGACTATAGTCTATTCTATAGTCTCGACTATAGTCTATTCTATAGTCTCGACTATAGTCTATTCCATAGTCTCGACTTTAGTCTATTCTATAGTATCGACTATAGTCTATTCTATAGCCTCGACTATAGTCTATTCTATAGTCTCGACTATAGTCTATTCTATAGTCTCGACTATAGTCTATTCTATAGTCTCGACTTTAGTCTATTCTATAGTCTCGACTATAGTCTATTCTATAGTCTCGACTATAGTCTATTCTATAGTCTTGACTATAGTCTATTCTATAGTCTCGACTATAGTCTATTCTATAGTATCGACTATAATCTATTTCTATAGTCTCGACTATAGTCTATTCTATAGTCTATTTTATAGTCTCGACTATAGTCTTTTTTATAGTCTCGACTATAGTCTATTCTATCGTCTCGACTATAGTCTATTCTATAGTCTTGACTATAGTCTCGACTATAGTCTATTCTATAGTATCGACTATAATCTATTTCTATAGTCTCGACTATAGTCTATTCTATAGTCTATTTTATAGTCTCGACTATAGTCTTTTTTATAGTCTCGACTATAGTCTATTCTATCGTCTCGACTATAGTCTATTCTATAGTCTTGACTATAGTCTATTCTATAGTCTCGACTATAGTCTATTCTATAGGCTCGACTATAGTCTATTCTATAGTATCGACTATAATCTATTTCTATAGTCTCGACTATAGTCTATTCTATAGTCTCGACTATAGTCTATTCTATCGTCTTGACTATAGTCTATTCTATAGTCTCGACTATAGTCTATTCTATAGTATCGACCATAATCTATTTCTATAGTCTCGACTATAGTCTATTCTATAGTCTATTTTATAGTCTCGACTATAGTCTTTTTTATAGTCTCGACTATAGTCTATTCTATCGTCTCGACTATAGTCTATTCTATAGTCTTGACTATAGTCTATTCTATAGTCTCGACTATAGTCTATTCTATAGTCTCGACTATAGTCTATTCTATAGTATCGACTATAATCTATTTCTATCGCCTCGACTATAGTCTATTCTATAGTCTTGACTATAGTCTATTCTATAGTCTCGACTATAGTCTATTCTATAGTATCGACTATAATCTATTTCTATAGTCTCGACTATAGTCTATTCTATAGTCTATTTTATAGTCTCGACTATAGTCTTTTTTATAGTCTGGACTATAGTCTATTCTATCGTCTCGACTATAGTCTATTCTATAGTCTTGACTATAGTCTATTCTATAGTCTCGACTATAGTCTATTCTATAGTCTATTCTATAGTATCGACTATAATCTATTTCTATAGTCTTGACTATAGTCTATTCTATAGTCTTGACTATAGTCTATTCTATAGTCTCGACTATAGTCTATTCTATCGTCTCGACTAGAGTCTATTCTATAGTCTCGACTACAGTCTAATCTATAGTCTCGACTATAGTCTATTTTATAGTCTCGACTATAGTCTCGACTATAGTCTATTCTATCGTCTCGACTATAGTCTATTCTATAGTCTTGACTATAGTCTATTCTATAGTCTTGACTATAGTCTATTCTATAGTCTCGACTATAGTCTATTCTATAGTATCGACTATAATCTATTTCTATAGTCTCGACTATAGTCTATTCTATAGTCTATTTTATAGTCTCGACTATAGTCTTTTTTATAGTCTCGACTATAGTCTATTCTATCGTCTCGACTATAGTCTATTCTATAGTCTTGACTATAGTCTATTCTATAGTCTCGACTATAGTCTATTCTATAGTCTCGACTATAGTCTATTCTATAGTTATAATCTACTTCTATAGTCTCGACTATAGTCTATTCTATAGTCTCGACTATAGTCTATTCTATAGTCTCGACTATAGTCTATTCTATAGTCTCGACTATAGTCTATTCTATAGTCTCGACTATAGTCTATTCTATAGTCTCGACTATAGTCTATTCTATAGTCTCGACTATAGTCTATTTTATAGTATCGACTATAGTCTATTCTATCGTCTCGACTATAGTCTATTCTATAGTCTCGACTATAGTATATTCTATAGTCTCGTTTATAGTCTATTCTATAGTCCCGACTAGTCTATTCTAGAGACTCGACTAGTCTCTTTTATAGTCTCATCTATAGTCTCGACTATAGTCTATTCTATAGTCTCAACTATAGTCTATTCTATAGTCTCAACTATAGTCTATTCTATAGTCTCGACTATAGTCTGTTCTATGGAGTCGATTATTGTCTGTTCTATAGTCTCGAATATAGTCAAGAGTCTGTTCTATTCCCTAGTCTCGGCTATAGTCTATTATATAGTCTCGAGTATGTTCTATTCTATATTTGTTAAAGTTGCCTTTTTGAGACAGTCCATTGTGGGCCATTACGGCCAAAAATCATTATTTTATGGTCACCGATTTTAAAGTTAAGTTACTTATTTGAAAGTAAACCTCAGGAGGCAAAAAATTACACAGCGAACAGTGTGATCAAACATGAACTAACATGTTTGTATATGGGCGAGGTGCCACACCCATATACAGCATACTAATTAAAATTCGTATATATGAGAAACTTAAATACCCAGTGTTGAAAAGTTTTTGCACCGATAACCTTGAAATCTACTATTAAAGCTAAATTTACTAAAATTTGTATTTGTAACTTAAGTTTCAATATAAATGTTTAGTGGGAAATGGGCGGCCTAAAAATAGTGGGCGTGGTATCTCTCATATGCATAAAAAAGTAAAATGATTTTATTTTGGAAATTATAGCACGTTAAACTTTGACATCGATATAAACAGGGATACTGTTACAGCTAGAGTCACCAGTGTGTGTCAGTATATTCGTATGATTTTAAATATTTAGGACATGGAGGTACAAAATATAGTGGGCGTGGCATATTCCACATGAATAAGATTTTAAAATTCGTTTATCTGGGAAATAATAACATTTAATATTACCACATTTTGTACAAGTAATTTTAATATCAATATAAATATTTCAAACTATAATGGGCGGAACACCAATATAAGGTGCGGTTGGACATAAAAGCATATAAAACATGCTTGATATCAGGTGAAAACCATGACACCAAGCTAATCCGGGAAAATTTCCGAGTCAGTTAAAGATCATCTTGCTGAAACTCATGTATAGTGGCGTTGTTTTAGAATATTAAATATTTCAACAAATTTAAATGCTCATATATTTGAAGATGTTTTAAAAATTTTATAAATATTTATCTACTTTTATGATAAATTAAACGTTACTGGTACAAAATAAATATTTATGTACGTACAAATGTGCATCTCAGTATGCTACAAAACTATTCACATATTATAGACGAAAAAGA